TACTTCGTGTTTCAAAGTGGGGTAAGTAACGTGAGCTTTTTGAAAAAGTACTTTAAAACAATATAAAAAAGTTTTTTTATGAATTGTGTAACAGATCTACAAATGATGTGACGGTTCCCCCTGTTTCCTGTTCGCCCTTTTTTGAAAATAGCTATAAATCCATTCATATATATCACCTGTTCTAGTTTTAGCGCGGCTATGTCGCGAAGTTATCTAATTGTTGATTGTTACTTTGTGTCTGTCCCGAGCAATTATCACTACACTTTGTTTCACTACATTACTGGTATTGGAACCACAATATTCTTCTAAACCTCAGCCATGATGAATTAGCTACATACAACTATTCTTACTTCTTGTTATAGTTTATTGATAAACTATGATATAGAAACTGAAATAGTGAATAGTGACTACAGCTTTATTCTAGAACTCGATCTTTTAAAATAACATAATTCCACGAAATTCATATATTTATAAAATCAAACTTAAAAATTGCACTTTATCCTGAATGCATACTCAAATAAGAAAGTTTATATTATTTCGAGTCTTATAGTAGATAACAGACATGTATACTTAAAAGGTTATTGATATAAAACATAGGGATACCAGTGACGCTTTATCTAACCTTGTAATAGTTATAAAAAAAAAATAGCACATAAAAAAGAAAATTATAAAACTATATTTATAACATGATAATTATAAAAACTATTCATTAAAAATTATCATTAAAATATAAATTTATATGTATAATAGAAGAACCTAACTATAAAATTAAAGAACATCACAGTAATAATAATAATAATAGTAATAGTAGTAATAATAAAATCTGCTACAGAAAAAAAAAGATTATTAAACAAAATAATTTATATACTTGCTAACCAATGTAACTTAAGTTCTCCGACAGTCATTTCCCTGAAAAACATTATCACGACAAATTATCTAACATTAGCTATAATGATGGCTAATATATTCGGTGTTTTTACGAAGAATGAATTTCGGAAAGTTGTTTCGTAACCTTTGCTAGCATTTCTTTTAGATCCTCAACTGAACCTCCAATAACTTCAACTGAAGTTTTAATGTTTTGAATTTTTTCAGCTTCTGATTCTTGCCCTTCATCTTTTATAACCTTCATAATTCTAGTAATAATAGGCTTTGTAGATTCTTCCCAGTCATCGGAATTAATATAACTAATAAGCTTACGAAGTTCACTAATATGAACCGAATAATAGCTTTTACAATAAATCGTTAATTAGCAAATCTAAATATAATAAATTTTTATAAATTATTTTTTCACTGCACTTTTTTGAATTACTATGATCATCAGACGATTCACCTATTACACAGAAATTTGTAAATTACAAATTGCAAAATGAAATTTTGTCATCCGGACATATTCTCTAATAAATTTAAACAGATCGTGTCCGGTACAAAATATAATTGAAAATCCAATGACAGATTTTCTCTTGGCGACACTTATATGAAAATTGCCAATCACAGTAATTTGAAAAGTGCAGCAATCACTTACAAAGTGTATGGAAACCAATTATAATTTCGTTTTTGAGAAGATGTTAAATAAAACAATTCGATTTCTTCAATAATCTAATTAAAATATATAAAGTCTCAGTATTTAAATTTTTTAACTTTAAACAACAAGAAAATATACCTCTTTTTTTAACATTAAATAAGCAAGATGATTATCTCTATTATCACCCAATAAATTACCAAGAATTCCAATAAATAAATTCATCAGGTATGTTATTATAAAAAATGAAAAAAACATCATTAAAATCATTATAATAATATCTTCACTTGAGACCCATGATGAAACAGGAGTTGAATCCCCTAATAAATAAATAATAAATAATTATATTAAAAGAATTTATAAATCTTTAAATACGTATTATAAACTTTATAAGTTACCAGTAATCATCATATAATAAGATGCAAGAATTGCAGAACCGAATTGTATAAACATATTTAAGCCTGAATCTAAAAGTAACATAATAAAATTTTATTCATATTATTATTATAAAAATTTATAATAAAAAAATTAAATAGAGTTATTTAATCAAATATATACCTTGATTTATCTCAGTTCGTAACAAGAGATGTAATGAGTGCGCAAATGCAAGTATAATAAGTCCAAATAATATTAAAAAAGCCAATACTTTGTCTGCAGTATTCATAATCATAGCAAGATAAATTCCAAAATATCTTATAAATCGAAGAAATATAATAAATTTTAATTCAAGAAGTAAAGTTGTAAATGTAATAGCCCCAGTTGAAACAGAACCATTTCTTAGCCAAATAATAGAAGTTACTATAGCAGATATTATAGCGCTAAGATCTATTAAAATTAAACCAAATTAAATGTTAATAGATATTATATATTGATTGATTATTTTAATAAACCTTTTACCTAAATAATTCCATATACTTGAAAAATATTCTTCATATGAAAAAGTAATATTACGAATTTCAACAAATAAATGCCAGAAACCAAGAATGGTAGTGATAATTAAAAACATCTGTTGATAATGCCAAGAAATATTATCTGATAAAGTGGCAATGGTAATAAAACTACCAGAAAAAACTATATATATCATCCAAATTGCTAAATAATATCTTAAGCCAAAAGTATTCCATTT